TAGGGAAGAGTGGTAAGAATGATCAGAGGACTTGAAACTGTGACTAGTAAAAGGCTGAAAGAAACATGGTGTTTAGTCAGAGAAAAGGGGAGACATCATGTTATTTTAATTCATAAATGGATGCTTTAAAGAAGGGAATTTTGTTTCCACTGCTCATGATAAATTGATCAAAAAGTCATGGGCTCCAACTGCAGCAAGATTTAGTGAGATTAGGAGAAGCTTTCTGGTGATAAAAATAGTGAAGAACTGGAATAGATTGGCTGAGGATGTGTGATGCCTCCATTGTTAGAGATCTTTAAGAATCAGTTACAGGAGAACACGTCAGAAATGGCATTGGTAGAGTTGATCCTTCCTTTTGGCAAAGGGATGGACCAGGTGATCTTTTGAGGTCCCTTTTGGCTTTATGGGTTTGTGATGCACAGTCCACCTCACGCTGTTACTTGCACCAAGGCGAGTAAACAGTTTTGTACTTGATGCTGAACCCTGGTGGCTCTGAAACACAGCCAAATCTCTTGGGAAGCTGTATTATGCACAATATTTTGATTATGACTAATGCATGTGTTGTTTTGGGGGCTTTTTTCTTCCGAAAGGTCAGTATTTTAATCTTTCAAAATCTTTCTGCTTATGACATTACACCAGTTCTTTTATTTCCTTTATGCTATCTGAGAGGGGGATAGCAGCCAAAGAGACTTAACTTTTTCTCTGGAGTTTAACTGACTAACGTTTTTGTTGCCCGTGGCAGCACTAATGAGAATTGAGTTTGACAAATTAAAAATGGTTTCCAAGCCAGTTTTTGTTAATTTGAGTATTTAAAAGTATTGTCCAGCATGTGCTTATCTCTGCAGCTCTTGCCCAGATATTTCCCTGTACAGCTTATACAATAGTATGTTTTTTTTCCTTTCCTTCAAATAAGCACAGAAAATCCACATGGCTAAAACACGTTATAGGAAATGAAGCCAATCCGGCAGAAACAGTTTTGCCTTTATGCCCAGCAATTTTATAAGTTCTTTGTAAGAAGGAATGGGGAAGAGGAGGGGAAATACATATGTCAAAGTGAGAGCTATATTTCTTCTACTTTGAGGACTCTAAGGGCAGTTGAACAAACTGTTCTAAAGTTTATGCTAATGATGCTCTCTAATTCAAGGCTGGCACAAGATTAGGTGGGATATCCTCTGTTTTGCTACCCGTGTGGTAACAGCCCATGAAAATCAGTCCTGTGCCTTTGGTAAGACTCAATAGCTGCGCACTCTTGCTAAGTAGCTGTCTGTTATCTGTAAATCAGACCGTCATATCTTAGGGCAAGTGGGCTTGTTTTTAAACAGTAGTTTGAAACATGAATAAAATCAGTATGTATAAAATTATTTCCCATTACAGCTCCTCTTGATGTGATGTTTACTGGATCACTCTGCCCTTTTGTCCTGAAGGAAGAATCACTGATGTGATCAGCAGCCCTCAACTGGGGGATTAAGAATCGAGGCAGCTGAGCAGATGATTGAGAGGCCATATGCTCTGTATGGAGGCTGAGGAAGTTCTTGGTGTCCTGCGTAGCACGAGGCACGGCTGGATCCAGAAGAACCTCAGTCCCTTCTCAGGTGCATGGAAGTTAGAGTACATTAGAGTACAGCCTGGGGATGACAGAATGAGTTAGCAGACTTGGCCCAGCACCTCTCCGGCAGGATAGTATGGGAGCATGTAAACGAGGAACAGACTACTTAACTCCTGTCAGTTTGCAGGAAATGGTTCAGAGATGATCAAAAATTAAACTCTTTCCAACTGATGGAATGTAAATAATGTGGGAATAAGCCCAGCTTGCTACAGGTTTAGTCTCTCGGCAAAGAAAGCCCTGTGCCTTATGAACTGTAAACCCAGATTACAAAATTAACATCCAACTGATAAAAAGATGCTTAGGTTAGAATAAAAAACCAAAACTAATTAGTCCCCTCTATGTTTCGGTGCTGTTTCTTTCTTCAGTTTATATCCTTTGCAAATCCTTAAACTTTTGGATTGTTGAGGAACCAGCCAACTAACACATAGTCTGCTTTTCCAGTTTGCCAACAGAACCATGTAGTTTTCATATAATTCAAAGACAGTTCCTCTGTCAGGTGGAAAATATTGACAGATAATGTTAGAAAAGTCAACTATCTCGGATTCAATCAAAAGTCAGAAAATAACTACTGCTAAGAAAAGGAAGAGGCAGGAGGAGAGGTTATGTGTAGTGGCAGTTTGTAGGTTTTCAGGATCAGATTTCTCCACCCAAATGCTCTCTCAAAATAGTTGTAGCGGAAATAGCAAAACCTCTCCAAACCCCATCTAACTCCCAGATGTATATCCCAGCACAGTCAGCTTAGAAAATAGCAGGGAAGGACAATCATAATTTCTTTTATCCCAAAGCCAATCTTAATAGCTTCTAAATGTAGTCTGATTCCTAACTAAGCAAAAGATGGGAACAAATAAATATTTTAGGATTTGTTTGATTTGTGTTATTTGGAAGATTGTTCCTATCCTCTTATTGGCAGTGAATCAGAGACATGCTTGCAGAATTATTATTAATCTCTTCTTAGTACAGCTGGTACTACTGTTAGTAGGTAATTTGATTGATGCTTCCCATTCTTGTGCTGGCATTGGTAACTGGAATCTACAGCTGCTTTATCTGTGGAGAACTGTGGAAGTGTTTGAAGTTACGTCTTGTGTAAATTCCATTTTCTTCCTCTTGTTTTTTCATACTTCCCTTAAATCATT